CCCTGATGTTCTGCTGCAGCCCTGAACCAGCCAGCCGGGGCAGGAAGTCCCTCCTTGTTCCTGCAGCTGTAGGAGGAGGAGAGTGATAACTGCAAAGTGTGCTGAGCTCTGACCCTCACATTTCTCTGTGGCTCCACAAAAGCACCCTCCTCTTTGCCCTCTGTGAAAATCCTCACTGTCCCAGGGTTCTGGAGGGAGATGAGGCAGAGGCCTCTCTGGGCTGGGAGCCACATGGTTGGAGCTCTGGTCCCTGGTTCCTCCACTTCCCTTCTCCGCCCACCCCCTCTTAACCCTCTGCCCAATCCTGCAGACAAAGGCTGTCTCAGGCCAGCTTTATGGAGGCCTCTGTGATTCTCTCTCATTCTCAAGGGGACCCTGGAGTTGGCCAAGCAGGTGAACAACCTCCCTCCGGCAAATTACAACTTACTCAGATACATCTGCAAGTAAGTGGCCTTGGGGGGTGGGAGGCGGTGGTAGCCACAAGCTTTCTGACCCTCCAATCAGCCCCACACTCTCATTTACCCACCCAAACACTCAGCCTGACTGAAGAAAGGAAAGACATGGTCAGTGTGTGTGGAGCTCGCCAGCCATGGGAAACTGCATGGTTTCAAACAGCCCTATGTGTGTGGTTCTCAAAGGGAAGGGCATTGGCTGCCCACCCACACCTATAAGCCTGCCTTCTAATGGTGGCCTAGCCAGGTTAGCAGCATCAGAGAGGTTGGCAGGACCTTGGACACCAATCCAAGTGGTGTCCACAGTGGGGAGGTACTCCCTCTGTGCTCAGCAACCCCACTGGCCCTGTCTCTGAGGGCTGACCCTCTTCTGGTGTGGTGGGGGGCTGGCTGTGCCATGGGTGTAAGTGGGTCCAGCACACCAGCATCGGGATTGTTCTTTTTGGGCCATTGTTCAATTTCATCTGCAGGTTTTTAGATGAGGTTCAGTCTCACTCTGATGTCAACAAGATGAGTGTCCAGAACCTGGCAACTGTGTTTGGACCCAACATCCTGCGACCCCCAGTGGAGGATCCTGTGACCCTCATGGAAGGTAATGGGAGTGCCTACCTGTTCTGGGCTGTCCTCAGAGCCAGCCCAACCCTGACTCAGCCAGCAGGAGAGGCTCAGAAGTCATCTCCATCCCAGGGAACCCCATTTCCTTCTATCCGGTGGGGTACACTTACCACAGCAGAAGGAACTTCTGGGGGTCATCAGGGGCCAGAATGGTCCCCCAGAGGACAAGGTCAGGAAAGGCAAAAGGTCAGTGGTCAGTGCCTCATTCACACAGGCACGTTTTCACTTTACTTTTGAAATTAATTTTCACAGGCTCTGGAGGTTCAGAGCTTCCCAGACCTTGGAGAGACTACCATAAGTAACCACTCGTCATGAAATGAAAGGGCTCTTTTGCCTTAGGGGCAAACATTGGCGCTGCAATCCCAAAGGCATGTGGTTCAGTTCCATCAGCTACCCCATAGGAGAAAGATAGGCAGTCTCCTCTGTGCACTTTACTGCCTCTAAAAACCCACTACAGGGTCAGCTCTGACTCCACAGTATGAAATAACAACTTCATAAAATGAAATGGTATCCTCAGTCAGCCAGGACTCCACTGAGGGTTTTACCTGTTACCTCATTTTCACCTCCGTGGTATGGTCACCCTTGTGTGAGGAAATTGACAAGTTCAGACTGACAAGTTCAGAAATGGCTAAGCCCAGGCTTTAGACTCACCAGACAGTTCTGGGAAGGCTGGTACCAGGTTGGCATGTGGTTCATCTCAGGAATCCCAGCCCTGCAATGGGGAAAGGGAACCCACTGCAGGGCTTGTATGGTCAGCAGCACCTGGCTTGGCAGATGGCCCAGTGAAAAACACTGACTCCTTGGTTCCATGTCCTGGCTTCACCCAAAAATTCTTTACTTCCAGGACTTAACAGTTATATTTGGTGCAAGTGTCCACCAAGTACTCAGCCTTCCTTAGAGCCTGACAAATATGACCAGACTCTCGCCTCTGGACACCAGATAGCACAGTCTTTCCATAAATGCCTTCCACCACTGAGCCCACATCCACCATGGGGTGGGGTGAGGGATTCTCCGAGGCTTTGGCCTGGAGAAGGAAGATGGTGTGTGTGCTGGGAGGTTGTACATGTGTAACTGTGTGTGTGCTGCGGGGTCCTGGCTGAAAGGAAGGAATACCAGAAAAATGTCTATTTGTGCTTTATTGACTATGTAAAAGCATTTGACTGTGTGGATCATGACAAGTTGTGGTTGCCATTGAGAAGAAAGGGAATCCAAGAACTCTTGATTGTGCTCATGTAGAATCTATACCTTGATCAGGAGGCTGTTGTACAAATGGAGCAGGGGAACACTGCATAGTTCGGAGTTGGGAAGGGAGTGAGTCAAGGTTATACTCTCTCTCCATACCTATTCAATCTGTATACTGAGAAAATTATCCAAGAAGGTGGACTCTATGAGGAGGAGTATGGGATCAGGATTGGAGGGAGACTCATTAATAATCTGTGTTATGCAGATGACACAACCTTACTTGCTGAAAGTGAGGAATGCTTGAAGCACTTGTTGCAGAAGATCAAGGAATGCAGCCTTTGGATTGTCTCTCAATGTTAGGAAAAAGAAAATTCTTACCACTTGAGGCAATGTCATGATGGATAAAGAGGAGACTGAAACTGTCAACAGCTTCATCTTGCTTGGATCCACAATTAACGCCCTTGTACAAACAGTCAGGAAATAAGGAGATGAATTGCGCTAGAAAATCTGCAGTTAGGGACCATTCCAAAATATTGAGTATATATACATATGTGTGGTTAAATAGGCATGTGTGTGTGTGTGTGTGTATGGGGATTTCTGTGTGTTGTGTATGTATGTGTGGTTATATGTGTGTGGATTTTATGTGCATGTATAGATGTGTTATGTGTGTGGATTTATGTATGTGTGGCGGTTCTGTGTTATTATATATGCATGTGTGTGTGTTTTGTGTGCATGTATGCATGTGTGTATGGGTTTCTAGATGCATCAGAGTGTGGGCAGTTTTTGTGTGTGTGGTGATATGTGTATATTTATGTTTGGATTTCTGTGTGTGTGTATGGATCTGTGGGGTTCTACACGTGTGTATACGTGGGGAGGGTTCTATGTGCATGTGTATATATTTGTGTGGGATTCTACATGTGTGTATATATGTGGAGGTGTTCCGTGAAGATGATATAATCTTGCTTGCTGAAACTGAGAAGGACCTGAGGCATTTGCAGCCTTCACTATAGATTGAAGCTCAACATCAAGAAGATAATTGCTATGAGGCCATTGGCATCAGCATAATAGATGAAGAGATTAAGATTTTTAATTTTATCTTGTTCAGATCCACACAACACTGTTGGCACTAGCATCCAGGAAATCAAAAGATGAATTGCATTGGGGAAAAAAATAGAGGGACCTCTCTAGAGTGCTGAAGAGCAAGTGTTGCTCCAGAGACTAAGATGCACCGGATCCAAGCCATGGTCTTCTCAATTACTTCCTATGCATCAGAGAGCTGGACAGTGACTAAGGATGAAAGAAGAACCATCTATATCTTTGAGTTGTGGTGCAGGAGAAGAGTAGTGAACATTCCATGGACTGTGAAGAGAACAAACAGGCTTGTCCTGGAAAGGGTGAAATCTGCAAGGATTTTTTTTTTTTTAAAAAACACATAGGTGTTAAGAATTTAATATTCTACAGAAATCAGGGACCGAAAAGAGCATTATTTAGAACATACAGTAGCACCACAAGATGCTATGTGAATCCTGCCTGGAATTAGCATTACCTTGAGAGACCTTTTCACTCTTCTGGCTTTTTTATTTCAGGTTTTCCTAAGTGAAATTTTAATATGAAAAGTTTTCTTAAAAAACTGTCTATCATCCATCAATGCAATACTATCCCCATCACCATTTTTACCTTTCCTAACAGCCCCAGAAAAGATTTTCCTGTCCTAATCCTTATTCCCCACTCTCAGGTGAAAAAGCTACATTTAGCACAGGGAAATTTGCACATGACTAAGTGCCTTAAAAGGGGGAGATTATCTCTGATTACCACATGGGCTATGGGAGCTAAGGCTTGACCCCAGGGCCTTGATAGCTTCATTCAAGCCTGGCCAGCAACCTTCTTCACACGTTTGGTGGTCACCTTTTTACTCACCCTGGCGTGGTGTTAGTATTAACTGTCTACTCAAGCAGGATTCAAAACCAATGAGAAACAAGGCAAGGCACATGGAAGTGGGAGGCTAGGAACTTCAGGGTGTTAGGGGGGATATGGTGGCCCTGCTCCTGGATACTTCTGCTCTGTACCATCATCCAGTCTTGGACATAAAAGCAGATGAGAGAGTATAAAAAGTCTACTATGCATAGTCAGGGGCACATGGACCGACCCAGGATCCCTAGGCACTGCCTCCAGACCTAACAGAAACACATCTTCGAATGTGTCTTCCACGGAAAAGGGCCAGCTTTCTCTCCAGGGCTTCCACTGCCAGGACACAGATTTAAGCTTGGCCACTTTGTGAAGGCTAGGAATGATTAAGTTCTGAGTATCCTCAGCCTATACCATGTCACAAGAGGGAGCTGAGATACGGAGAACTCCATGACCTCCAACTCACTCAATGCCATAGATGATTCCAATTCAAAGTGGCCTCCCATAAGGTTTTCACAGTTGGAAATCTTGGCAGTCTGTCTTTCTCCCAAGGAGTGGCTGGTGGATTCGAACCAGTAGAGATGCCTGGCTTTTGATTCGCAGTGCAACACCCTACAGACTAAGCCACCTCTTTTTTTTTTTAGCATGATCTCCAGTCAGCAGTAAATTCAAAGTCAGGTTTCGTTCCAGAAGTTGGAGCGAGAAGAAGCCCAGGTTCTCTTCCTCTAGTCAGACAAGGGCTGGGGCCTCAACACCCCTGGGTGACTCGGATGCCTTCGGCCACATCAAGTTTACGGGCCGCAGACTGAGTGGCCGGAGCCAGCTGGGACCTCCTCCACCGTGCACTCATAGGGTCTCAGGCCGATGGCTTTTTCTATGGAGGACCAGCTGGGACTTCCAATCAAAAGCTTGGCCGCAGTCACCACAGAAGTGTCGCTTATGTCCAACATGGCTCTTACAATGGATGACCAGCTGGGACTTCCAGCTGAAGCTTCGTCCACACTCCTCACAAGGATAGCTGAAGGGGCCAGTGGGGATGTGCCAGGGACGCGACCGTGGCTCTGGAGTGATCGGTGGTGGTCTCTCAGCACTTCCGAACGCCGGCTGGCTCCCTGCATGTGCTCGCCTATGGATGACGAATACTGACTTCCAATCAAATCCGAGGCCGCACTGCTCACATATATACGGTTTCCTGAGTGGTGCCCGTGTCTCCAACCCAGGCCCGGGTGACGCGGTCCAGCCTTGTACACCACTGGCCTGCGGCACTGGGACATACATGGTGGCTGGGCCTTGCAGAGGCCAGACCTCTGGGGAGGCTGCGGGCGCCTCCAGGAGGCTCCTGCCCTCATCTCCCACAGAGATCACGGTCCCATACTTCTGAAGCATCGTGTCCCAGT